AACACTAAGAAATAAGAGTGACATCTGACTCATGAATGATAGATAACGCATGGTGATGGATGCAAATTTTAGTTTGTAATGGGCTCGGTACTTCAGACCCTGAGGACAACACGTATTCGCAGCACATCAAACATAATAAAAGTAGACAATTGCAAGGGCACCTATGCGCATCAGCTATAAAATAGGTTCGGCCCTGCTTATACAAGATGTTACTTTTTCAAGTATATATGAACTTTCATGTTGAAATAAATGTGTCTATGTTGTGTCAGTTTCTGAGAAAAATCAACCAATAAGGTGAACTTCTTCGGCCGCAATGGAATCATTCGGCCGGCTATTTGAGATGCTAAATATTGAAGACAATACACAGTGAATGTAGACTTTAAGAAAGCAACTAGTGGGGTTGTGCTACCTCACCTGACCAAATCATCAATACAGCGTCTTCCTGCAGTTTCTCTGTTTCCTGAATTTAGTATATTGTACATTCATTGACAGGTTCTAATAATTTAATTTACAATATAACAAACTCTTTTCTCTGTGACACTTTTGGTAGAAAACAATGGAATGTTGAGATTACTTGTTGCTTACCCCCAAAAAGATATTGTTTTCAGCAAAATTACATTTCTTAATCATTTATGCTGAGATCACGAGGGATGTAAGCCTACTTTTAGCCTAAAGCGACTGCTAATAATGACTGAAAGATCGTTTACAGTTGTGTCCAAGTGAGTCAAGTTATGTGTAAAATAGACCTTTTCAAGTTTCTGGGAGCTCGTGGATCATCCCAAAAGCTTTTTTCTCTTTGGACCGATGCATAGTTTCATGCACTAGAGTAAATGACCAGTTCAAATGACCAAAACACTTTCTATTTCTAGAGCATGATCTTTTCAATTCACTTAGCCCATGTAAAATATGACAGTTTCCCTGTAATTCACAAGTTACAAACACCAACATCACAGTTCAAGAAACTATTCTCTTAAAAGCATATATACATGTTTCATATGATGATCCCAATTAGTAACTGTGGGTCATAAGACCAACTACTAACTTGAAATCATGTACAGGCTGTTTATAAATTAAACTCTGCTTTTGTATTACATATATTCTTAACATCAGACTCAAGTTATATTCTATAATTGGTAATATATATTATAGTTGGCTAAAAGTCAATAAAAACTTCTCAGATAATTGACAGACTGTTAGATTAGGTACTTTTTAATCGACCTTTTTGGTCTTCCCCAACGTTACTCTCAAGATTTATACTTGATTTAATCTACTTAACCCACGGCCTCGATTATGACGGTGTTAGTGGGCATGCCAAACGGCTTAGTGAAGATTTCCTAGGAAAACATTGACAGCATCCAATTAATGTCTCATAACAAGCCTGTATCCGAATTTATATTACCTAGAAAATCTTGGGGGTGACAGTCATAATTAAGTTTTACAGTAGCGGAGTATAATTACAAGGGAAAATTTTAGTTAGTCCCTTTACCCACCTTAATTTCAGTCACCCTAAAAATTTAAAATTTCACTGCACAGAGAGATTGAAATGAAATTGAAAAGTTAACTTAAATGACCATATTATCCTTAGTAAAATGAACAAATGATATATAAAAAATGAACAAGCAACGTATATAAAATGAACTGATGGTGGTAAAATTTGCTACTCTCATTAATAACATAACATCATTATGGATATAAACAAGTAAAGTTACGCTTATAAATAATTCATGTAAAAAAAATGAACAACTAATTATGGTAAATGAACAATTGAAGTAGGTGAAATGAGAGTTGTAAATTTATAATGATGTTATGATGTTAATAAAGTTTGCAAATTTCACTTACGTCTATTGTTTATTTTTCATACATCAGTTATTTATTTTTCCTATATGAGTTGTTCACATACCTAATTTCACCAGGGATAATAACATCATTTGAGTCATGTCTTTAATTTCATTTTAGCCCTTCATATGTGCACAGTGAAATTTCATGGGGGTTATTGAAATTGAGTTGGGTTAAGGGGGCTAATTGAAATATTCCATAATTACAAATATGTACACACATACATATTGTAAATTTAATTTTATTATATTCTTTATAAGTAATTTCTTAAAAATAATTTATAACTTAAAAATATCATTAAATGATAATTATATATAGTTTTATTTCAAAATACAAAATTTCACCATATATCTAATATATTATTTTCAAGAAAAAATTTATACAGAATATATGTGTGCGCGAGTGAGTGTTTATATTTTCAATTAATTTTCATATGTTATTATAAATTAATGATTTAAAAAAATATAAGTGATCTTCAAATTTTATAAAATTATAAACCAATATACAAACATTAAAAGTAGGGTTAATGTATATTTTTATCCCTGAACTTTTTTTGAAGAATGTTAGGTACTCTATACTGATAAATTTGACAATTTTACCTCTAAAAAACCCTTTCTGTTAGCCAATCATTAATTTTTTTATTTTTTGCTAACGTGATATGTGCGTGGGGCTCTTGCAAAATGATATATAAAATTTTGACCATATTCTTTAGTGTTAATTTATCCTTAAAATCTTTTTCTAATAACACTGAACATCCAAAAGTCTTTTTTTAAAAGTGCTTAACATCTTAAAATCTTGTTGAAATAAAATTTAATAACTATTATTAAAATATTAAATATTTTAATATTTAATAATTTAAATATTATTATTTATAAATATTCATTCAAACTTTATAAATTATTTTTTAAATATTAACATTTTAAAGTAATTCTTTATAAATTTATGGATGACTTGTAATATTTTTATATATTGATCATATTTTTAATATTAATTGAGTTCTTTAAATTGTTTAGATCATTTTCTATAATTTTTTTGATCAACTAATCATTTTATTCCAAAACATTACACCATCCAATTTAATATTTATTATTTTTAATATTTTATAATTTTATATTAAAAATAAAGGGAATGAACCTCCAAATTAATGAAGGAACAACGTGCAAAAAGTATTAAATTTGAGTAGTATAATATTTTGGAGAAAGATTATTAGTTGACTAAAAAATTATAAAAAATGACCTAAAAATTTAAGGAGCTTAATCAATATTAAAAATATAAGTAAGTTTTGACATGCAAAAGGCATAATGATTTGAGCACTATTTCAAAGAGAAGATCAAAGATTGATATATAAAAAATTAAAAAGTCATCTATAAATTTATAAAATGATAATTTGAGTTGTTAATATTTGATAACTAATTTGTAAATTTTGAATGAATATTTATAAATAATAATTTTTAATTTATTAAATATGAAAATATTTTATGTTTTGGCAATATACATTCAATTTTATTTTAACAAGACTTCAAAATATTCAATGATCCTCAAAAAAAACTTTAGGGTGTCCAATATTTAAAAAAAAAAACTTTAGAAGCAAATTAGCATCAAATAACATGGTTAAAATTTTATCTATCATTGTGCGTGGACCTCATGTACATGCAACGTCAGTAGAAAATGACAAAGTTAATGATTAACTAACAGAAAGGGTTTTTTGCTCCTAAAAAAAATAGTTCAAAGAGAAAATTATCCCACTTATTAATATAAAGTGTGCATCACTCCTACAAAAAATAGTTGCTTAATCCTTAAAATTATATGTTAAACATAGCTAAACTACTTAAAAAATTCTTGCATAAATACAATGCACCACGTCATTATTCATATTTTATTCAATAAAATTGAATCAATTCAATCACGTAAAATCCTATGTTATTATTTTTGATAATTTCATTTTTGAAATAAAGTTTATATTTAATTTCTTATTTTTTATTTCTTTTTCATTGTCAATGTCAAAATCAATTTATATTTACATCTTATTAATATTAATTTTTAATTCAATAAAGAAATAGAATAAAAATTTAATGATATGATTTATAAATAAAAAAATAATTTTTTGTCTTATAAATAAAATAAGAGATAATATTACAAAAGAGTTTATGCTTTTGATGAGGCTAAATATTCTAAGACCAGTATACGAGAAGACGAAGGAAGTTGGGGGGTGCCCTCCTCACAATACACCTAGTACCGCCACTGATTACAATAAGAAATAGGAAATGGGAAATTTCCTTTTCAAAATTACGTATCATATGAGTCTGCTGCTATAGCCAGCAAAGTCCTTGTAGAGAAATATATGGACTTTAACATAGCTTGGAATATTCCTCTTCCGAAGTCGGCAGAATCACTACTGTAACGGCATTTTGCATATTTGAACAAGCTAAGACGCGTTCTTTTTGGAAAATAAAATAGGGAAAATTTCAATGGGGGACCCTTAACTAGAGAAAATAAATAAGAGGACCCCTGAATTTATGAAATTTTTCTGAAAGACCCGTATGGATTTTTGTTTGACTTTGTGACCAACATGATAAAATTACCCTCATTTAAATGAACAATATAAATGACTTTTTTGTTCTCATATTGTATGTTGTTTGTTTATTTACAAAATATTTTTTTTTCCTAACTTCACTTATTTATAACCTTAGTTTTACTTGATTTCATTCCAAGTGTTGGTTTCATGATAAGATAATTTGTTCATTCTCATACTGTTTATTGTTTATTTATTTATGGAATATTGTTTGTTTCCCTACTTCACTTTGTTTATAGCCCTTGAATGAAATTAAGTGAAAGCTAGACTATAAATAAGTAAAGTAAGAAAACGAATAACATTCCGTAAGTAAACAAACAACATATAGTATAGGAACGAATAAATCGTTTATGTAGTTCACTTAAATGAAGACAATTTTATCATTTTTATCACAAATTCAAACACAAATCTGTGCGGATTCTTCAGTAAAATTTTAAAAATTGAGGGGTTTTCTTTCTTATTATCTCTGACCAAGGGTCCCTTACTCAAATTTTCCCAATAAAACAACCAGCTATTGAATTTCTGCCAATAAAGAAAAGGTCACCAACCATCTCCATTGTCACCGTTGGAGTCATCTGATGCACGCACAAATATTTCTTTAATGCATTATGCTAAATCGAGTGTATATATATGGGGAAGAATTCGGTCTTGCTCGCTGCAACAGACTCATCTGCTAACCACAGTACTGAAGACCTCATCTGCAGAGCCATGGTACGTATAGTTCTCTGATCACTGTGCATGCAAGGCGTAGATCGAGTTAATAATTGATCCTTTCAGGCTTCCTATTAATTACGTACTGAATTATGACATTGATGTATTTGCATGCAGGAAAACCCCGAGAAAGTCAACAAGGGTCATCAGGAGGAGAAAGCAGCGCTGGTTGTGGCAGATAAAGTGGACTGGAAAGGAAGGAAAGCTCTCAAACATGAACATGGAGGGATGAAATCGTCCTTGCTCATATTAAGTATGTGAAATCTCTTGTCAGTATTATTCAGAGTCTTGAAAAAATTAGCAGCTATGAAATAAAAAACGAACAAGATTCTTAAAGACAAAGTTGGGATGCTTGATTATATATGTTATCTATCCGTTATGCATATGCAGCGACGTTTGGATTCGAGAACTTGGCAACGTTCTCGCTGGCAGTGAATTCGGTGGGATACTTCAATGGAATAATGCATTTCGATATTATCGATGCTGCTAATATGCTCACCAACTACATGGGCACTAGTTACTTGCTCGCCATCCTCGTCGCTGTCGTCGCCGACACTTGGTTTGGCAGATTCAAAGCTGTCATAGTCTCTGGTTGCTTTGAGTTTTTCGTATGTCCCTTCAAATAATATATTCATCATCATATATCCTCCTATATATATATATATATATATATCTTTAATCACTAAGACCATTATTCTCTAATTCTCTTGGATTGTCAGTGTCAGATCTTTTCATAAAACTTTCCCATAGACCATACATCTTTGTGAAAATTCCATGAGAAACTGGAAAGAAAGCCCAAGAGATAAATTTTACATATGAAATAGTGGGAAGGTGGCCCTAAAAATTATACACATATTTATATCCCACATTTTTTCCCTAAAAAGACTTTTAAATTCTGAAGCTAATTCATTATTCTTGTTTAAAATTACTCTCCCAGTCGAGACGTTGGTACTTTACCTTTTATTTTTTATTTTTTTGGGAAGCATTTTCATTCCTTTTAGTGGTAAGAATTAAGACTTGAGAGGCTGTCACAGCGTTCATTCTTCATAGATGATGTGTGTGTGGGTGCAAGCTTTTGTAAAATAAAATAACTGCACGGAAATGAGAAATCAGAAGTAACATATAAAGTTTGTTTACAGTACGTAATAGTGATTTATATATATATATATATATACTCACACACACATATACATATTGATGGTTAACATCCCAGTACGTGTATATATAAGTATTTACCGTTGAAAATTCGTTTCTGAAAGTAACGAGAATAGAGGCCTGAGTTTCAGTACCATGGTCCCCTCATTGATTTTTTTTTTTGGGTTTTAAATTTAATAGTTTATCACAGTGACACACGACCATTAAAAAAAAAAAATAGAGAAAATGATGCAACATAATTTTATTAATATTAAGTTGGTTTAAAATTGAGGAATATATAGAATAATGTAGGGGTAACGTAATGTTTTGAATTTTAAATAAACATAAAAATAATTGTACTATATAAATTTTAGAACATGTCCTCTGCTAATATTTGTTGCTAATTTTTGCTATTAAATACATATAATTGATCCATCAGATATGTGTTCTTATATTTTTTTAGTCCAATAATTCATTTTTGGATTTGTCGCGAAGAATAGCACACTAGCTCTCCATTGTTTGAGACAGACGGTCTTAAAAAGCATTATAAATGATCGCTTTTGTCTTAGTACTAACTTACGAGTTATATTGACTGTATTACTCTATTTTTATTGAGATTTGATAAAATATTAGAACTAATATGTAATCAATGATCTCTATGGAAAATCCTTTTGTTGCATATTCAATAGGAACTATACATATAAACAAACTAGTAAAGCTAGAATTTCAATGACTGCTACATGCAGCGTGAACGCCAATCAGTTAATCGTCTCAATTCTTCACTGATCCATGATGTTGCAGGGACTAGTGCTGCTAACAGTTCAAGCACACTACCCCCACCTGAAGCCACCACCTTGCGTCATGTTGGATCCACAATCTCACTGTGAGACACTCAGTGGCGGCCACAAGGCTCTGCTCTTCCTCGGTCTTTATCTCCTGGCTTTCGGCAGCTCTGGAATCAAAGCTGCGCTTCCCTCACATGGCGCCGATCAGTTTGACGACAAAGATCCCAAAGAAGCCTCCCAAATGTCAACCTTCTTCAACTATCTCTTGGTCGCCGTTTGCCTCGGGGGCGCCGTCAGCTTGACGCTCGTTGTCTACGTGCAGGACAACAAAGGATGGGACTGGGGTTTTGGGATCTCCGCCATCGCTATACTGTTGGCCCTCATAATCTTTGCCTCGGGATTGCCTCTCTATAGGCTTCAGATTGTTCAAGGAACTAGTGCTATCATTGAGATCATACAGGTACGTCATACATATGCTCGTTGCCAATTTTGTGAGTGGCTGAAATTTTGACCCTTAGATACTGCTTGATTATTAGAGAGAAATGAAATTAAATATATTAAAAAATTAAATCAAAACAAAAATAATTAAATTACCCTTCCTTCTATATTAAGTATGATAAAATTCATTAATATATATTATAAATATAAAAATTATTACATCTTTTAAAAATTTTATAAATTATGATTTACAATCTTATGAATTAAAATATCCTTCTCTCCTTTATGAATGGACCCACATATCTCTTTTAATCATTTTATTTTTATTTTTATAATTTTAATTCATTCCTTTCCATATTGTTTAGTAAGCAAACAGGACTTTAAGGTTTGCTTGTTCTTACCATTACCGATTAATCATAATATCTTGACTCTGTCTAGCTCTAGGTAGCCAGCACATTCAAATGAGGGCAACAACACCGATGACGCATGATACGTGCATTTGTATTTTCTGTTTATATTAATTTCTTGCCGTGTAATTTCCAGGTCTTTGTTGCCGCATTTCGGAATATAAATCTCCGCCTTCCTGCAGATCCTGCAGAACTCTACGAGATTGAACGTGACAAAGAACCTGCCTCCGAAATAGAATTTTTACCTCACAGAGACATTTACAGGTACAATGCATCCCTCATGTCTCTCGCACACCTTTGTATATTCCCATAAATTTCTTGTGTACCTCACATCTATGTACCCGTACATACAAGCACAGTCTGACATTTAGGCCTTGCCAATACACACACACACACACACACAAAAACACATGCTGATTAAATCTTTAACTAGCTACGTGTGTGCGCTCTGAAAAAATGTTCCTGTTCCCATTATCAGGTTTTTGGACAAAGCAGCCATCAAAACCAAACGCACAACGGAAGTTGAGAATTGTGAGACTCCAAATCCATGGAAACTGTGCAGGGTCACGCAAGTGGAGAATGCCAAGATCATCTTAGGCATGGTCCCAATATTCTGCTGCACGATCATTATGACCCTGTGCCTAGCTCAGCTCCAAACCTTCTCCATCCAGCAAGGCCGAACAATGGACAGCCATATTTCAAAATCTTTCAAAATTCCTCCAGCATCTCTCCCAATCATCCCAATCCTGTTCTTGATCATCATCGTCCCTGTCTATGACCTCATTTTTGTGCCTCTTCTTCGCAAAATCACGGGCATCCCCACTGGAATCACCAACTTGCAGCGTATAGGAGTTGGCCTCATTCTCTCTTGCATCTCCATGGCTCTGTCTGCAGTGATTGAAGTAAAAAGAAAACAAGTGGCAAGAGATCACAACATGCTCGATGCTATACCAGTACGTAATCCATTGCCCATGAGCACATTCTGGCTTTCCTTTCAGTACTTTGTGTTTGGCATTGCTGACCTGTTTACTTATGTGGGGCTGCTTGAGTTCTTCTACTCTGAGGCACCAAAATCGCTGAAATCTACATCAACCTGCTTCCTCTGGACCTCAATGGCTGTCGGATATTTTCTGAGTACCATAGTGGTGAAGAGTGTGAATAGTGCCACCAAGAATATCACCAGAAGTGGAGGATGGTTGGCTGGTAACAATATTAACAGAAACCATCTGAATCTATTTTACTTGTTCCTTTCCGTGGTGAGCTTTATCAACTTCTGTATCTATCTGATCGTTTCAAGCAGGTACAAGTATAGGACTCAAGTTCGGGAAGTAAAACAGGGGGGTTCCAACGATTGAATGTAGAGAACCAAAAAAGTAGAGTATGATGAAATGTATAATTAGTGAAAGTTAGAGTAGTTTGTACCGTTTATTTCATTTTCTCTTCGAGAAAATGATTGCGATTGGGTAAAAGTAAGATAGAGGTGTGATTATTTGTTTACTTCAGAAGTTGGAAGTTGTTAAGTTTAAACATATATGGAAGCTTTTTTTGTACTTGAACTTGATGTGAAAACGTGTATGATTTCATCCGAAAGAATTGCAAGAGGAGCTCATCCGCAGGAAGAAAACGAACAGTAATAATTATAATTATAAATTTTTCATCATTTACATTGTGGAATAGATAAATAGTGTTATTCTAATGATTATATCTTGCAAAAAGGATAAACCATATGGAAGTTAAATAATGAAGAGCTCTTGTGCCTTGTGTATATGATTATTCAAGTGATAAGAGCCAATATGGTTAATTAGATTGGCTTTCAAAGGACCTTCAAGTTCCCCTAAATGCATTCTGCATGCTGCTTGATTGATCCATGTAAAATAATATATAATACATTTCAAATGCAAAAACGTTGGATTTACTTTAGCAAAATTAATATATTCCAAAACGGATTCACCAAACACAACCAATCACAGCAGTCAAGTTTTCTGGGTGCTATGACTCTGAGCAGTCCCATGATGATTGTGATAGAATATCTTCCCAAGGTTTTCCGTCCTCAACATCAGTCTGCTGCTATACCCAGTAAAATCCTTGTAAAGAAATAGACTATAACGGTTTGGACTATTCCTCTTCTGATGTCGGCAGAATCAATGTAATGGCATCTTTATAACAAGAACCATATGCTTTCTTTAATTTAAAATCTAAATGACGAACAACTGCGTTTTTGAAATAAAGAAATGGTCACCAACTATTCATCGTCACCATTCGATTCGAGTCATCTGATGCACGCAGAGATATTTCTTTCATGCGTCTGCTGATATATATAGGGAAGAATTTGGTCTTGGGGTCACTACTTCCATCTCAGACCAGTTTTGCCCTTTTCATTTGAATTAACCACAGTGAAGGCCCCATCCATATGTAGAGCCATGGTACTTACAACTTTCTCTCTGCATGGAAGACGTAGGACCAGTTAATCCTTTTGAGCTTCTTGATAATTACATATGTTGATTTCTTCGCACGCAGGAAAATCCTGAGCAAGTTGATAATGGTCATAAGGAGAAAGAAGCACTGATTGTGGTAGACAAAGTGGACTGGAAAGGAAGGGGAAAAGCTCTCAAACATGAACATGGGGGAATGAATAAAACATCCTTCCTCATATTAAGTATGCAAAATCTCTTGTCAGTAACTCAGTGCAGGCTTTAAATAAAGTTAATAACTAGCATGTGTGAATGTGATTGAGTGAACAAACGAAAAACACACACTCTATACCTAAGACAGGTGCGATTCTGGGCATGAAAAAAATTGAAGGCTTATATGTATGTATGTATGTATTTACATATATGCAGCGATGTTTGGATTCGAGAACTTCGCAACGTTATCACTGGCAGTGAACTCGGTGATACACTCAACAGTTATTATGTGTGTCAAAAGAAGAAGTTACACATTACCTACATAAGAAGAGCTCCTGGAATATATATCTTAAGAAATGAAAATAAGATAGTTAATTGGTTTAAAGATGAAGTGGGCTTACAAGTCAAAGAGACAATAGGTATTTTTATCAAATTTGTTTTGCACAGGTTGTTAAATTAATTTTGTAAATGCCTTTAACCAGAACTGTGGTTTGCACGTTTCAAGTCTAAATTGATTATCCTTGGATTTGTTAATGTGCTTTAACTAGACATTATGTCCAATTAAAGCTTGAAATTGATTTTGCAGTTGTCTTCAAGTGGCAAATGTAAAAAATGCCAGAATCAATTGTCTTCATTACAACATTGTGTCATTACGTTTATGAAACTCTCAATTAAATCATGCCTTAAGGCTTCATCTAGACCGTGCCTATATATAGCAGAGGGAACATAGTGCATTCAAGGCTTAGCTTTGGAGTTCTTGAGCTCCTTCTCTGTGTTGTGTCGATTGAGTATTACTTTGCTAATCTTTGTTGTTCTGTGCCCTTGTTAATTTTGTAGAATGAGTCTGTTTAATTTTGAAAAGCTATCGCTCGATCAACTGATATGACAAAATAGCTCTTAAAGATAATGTCCTCAGACACGACTCAGACTACAATTTTACCTGCTGGTGCCAACACACACTTCAATGGAATAATGCATTTTGATGTGGTTGAGTTGGCTAAAATGCTCACCAACAACAAGGCATTGGCACTGGTTACTTGCTTATCACCCTCGCCATCGTCGACTATACTAGGTTTGGCAGATTCAAAACTATCATCATCTCTGGTTGCTTTGAATTTTTGGTATGTCCCATATGAAATCCCTTCAAAATTCAAATATTCATCATCATCTCCTACTGCTATAAATTCTAATTTTCACCTTATTATTTTGGCCAAAGGGCAAAAATATCTAAGAAATTATCAGTTAAGAGCATCAATAGCCTAAAGTGAAAAAAAAAAAAATGTACAACTGCTCATGAAGTTATTTTTCAATGCTTTCTATAACCAAACTGTTAAATTTTAAATTCAAAAGATAACAGTCAACATTTTTTTACTTTTAATGATATGGTCATAAATATATCAAAAAAAAAAATTTATGGGCATTTGTATATTTTCTTATTTTAGGCTAAAAAGAAAAATTTAAAGTAACAGTAGTATAATTATATATATATATATATATATATTGATGGTTCTTAAAATGTCTATAATTATATATATATATATATATATTGATCGTTCTTAAAATGTCAATAACTTGTGTATATTACAAAACATTTCTGAAAGTAACAAGAGGCCTGGTCCCCTCACTGATATATATATATATATATATATATAAATTTAAATATTGTTTAGCCCAATAACAATAATTGACAACTACAAGGAAACAAAGTACAGAAAATGATGTTAGGAGAAGAGGCTACAGGCCGACACTAGCTGCCTGTTCGGCTGCAACAAGAAGGATGACTCGATGCACTTATTACGGGACTGTATCAATGCAAAAGAACAGGTGGCTCTCAGTTCTTAAAGAGGGAACTCTAGAAGCCTTTTTTCTCACAACAGGGAGCGGATTGGGTTAAATGGAACTTAAAGCACAAAGCTAGGGTGGACTTCACAAGAAGAGTTCCTTGGGCAACTTTATTTGATTACATTTGTTGAGAAATTTGGGTTACTAGGTGTAATTTTGTTTTCGGTTCTGCTGTCGAGGACCCTAATCCTATGGGGATCTCTGGCTTGTTCATGGCCTCCCTAGATAGAGAGCTGATTAACAACTATTCAATTTTCAAGCCCCATGGTTATGAGATACCCTAAAAGCAGTCTACAAGTAGTGAGGTCACTAAACTACTCAACGTTGATGAGTTTGTGTGCGATGATGCTCGGAGGGGCTGTGGTGGCATCTTATGTGATCAATGCAAAAATTGGATATGTGGATTCAGCGCAAAACTCAGTTTGGTTCCTCTTGTAGTGGCTGAGCTGATAGGTATCATTCAAGATCTAAATATATGTTTGCAACTTGGGCTTTATCATGTTGATGTCCTTTTTGATTGTATAGAAGCCATTAATTTAATTGTTAGAGGCTGTGATAAACACTACCCATTTTTAGAAATTATTGAGGAGGTGAGAGCCTTTTTCCTTAGGGAAAAGGTAACGTTACTTTTAACCATGTATATCATGATTTGAGCAAACAGGCTGACTCCCTAGCTAGACATGCACATACTATGAACACTTGTTTTTCTTTGACTATCATCCACTTTCGATCATAGGAATGGAAGATGTTGAAAGAGAATAGGTTTTTTTTGTGCTTTTTCCATGTCTTTTGTACCTTTTCATCTGAATTAATGGATATTTAATTAGTTTTACTAAAAAAAAATGATGATACATAATTTCAGTAATATTAAGTTATTTGGAAATTTAGGATATATAGAATAATGTCGGGGATAGCGTAAGGTTTTAAATTTTGAATATACACAACAATAATTTGTACTGCATGCAATTTGAAATATGCTATACTAGTACTTTTCTTGTTAGTTTATGCTATTTAATGCATATAATTGATCAATCGGGTATGCATTTAAGATTGCTTTTGTTTTCAATAATCCATTTTGGATTTGTCACGAAGTACACCGGGAAGGCGGGCACCAGATCATGCAGGTAGATGTTTAACTTTACACAAGATTTTAATATTTGATTTTTTTAGTTTTACCAAAAAAAATTTTCAATCCTTTAATTTAATTCTTACATAGTTTATTAATAAAAATTCTTCCATCAAACTTTTCAATATTAATAAAACATTATCAAGATTGATATATTAATTTAATTTTTTAAATAATATTTATTTATACAAAACGTAATTATTTTTAACTGATGGCATTGGGTTTAGATGATTAAAAAGATTATTTATAAAATTAAGAGACCAAACCAATGTTTGAAATCAGGACTGGATGTTGAACTAGAAAGAACAACAGGTCGTGATTCTCCTGGTTCAACTAATTAGATAGGCAATTAAAACAATGACAAAAAAATTAAATAAAAAAATATTTGCGCGTGCACACACACAACATTAATTATTTGTCGATTGTGCTTGAAATTTTGATGCCAAAAGCTAGATGGTAGAGCTGGAAATAAAGGCATGTCGGCATGAGCTCACGACATCAAAATAAAATACTAGAGTTAGAGGCATGCCGTCTTGTCACAACTCATGAGTTTTGAATTTTGACATCAAAAGTTGGATCGTTAAAGTTGAAAGCAGAGGTTAGAGAAAACATTATAGATTAACCATGGGTTGTGGAGAAGATATCAAAGATTATAGAAGAGAAGACAAAAGAAAATTAGAAATTAGATAAGAGAAATCGTGAATCTAAGCAATTGAGAGTAAGTTTTTGTTTTATTTTTTAGGTTTTGTGGGGTTGACTCGCTTTGATTTCTAGGTCAAATCATGTTTGCTTAAAATCACCTTGTCCAAATGCCTAAGTGATCCAAATGGTTAAACTAAATTGTTTTGTTAAGCAATCAACTGTTGGACAGTGCAGTTCAATCCAAGTTTCAAATCACCAAACCAAATAAAAACCTTATATATAATTAGAAGATAAAAAGTACTATTACCAAAAAAAGAGCAGAAAAAGTATTATTACCAAAAGAAAAAAGAAAAAAAATACACTTGAACCATAAATAATTGTGTGCGTGTATTTGATTTTTATGATTGATTTCCTTTAATAATTTATTCTAAAATTTATAAACACTAGCATTCACGTACACACTTAGGTACTACTTTTCCGACTAGGAAGAGGAAGTATGAATTCTCTCATCTTCCTTTCCATCCTCTTCCATTCTTTTCTTTATCTCCTATAAAATTATTATTAAAATATTAAATTATAAAAAAATAAATAATAAAATGCAAATGACTAAAATTTAATACGAACTATTTAAAAATATAGTAAAAATAAAATGAAATGAAATTTTTAAAGGAGATCGAACGTGGATTATTCAAAACTTTGATCTAATAGTTAGAAATTAAATAGAGGATAGGAAGATGATGGAAAGGAGGATGAGAGAATCCTCTCTGAGTGAAACACGGATCTAGCTTCTCTCCTTTGAGACTTTCGTACACTACCCCTCCTTTGCACCACCATGGTAAATTTTGAACTGTTCAGATTAAATATGAACAGCTCAAATTTAAGATTTTTTATTTTTATTTTATATTTATTTGTAACATCTTAAATTTCAAGGTGTGACCAGCATATGATATGTATAAAATTCATATTCCTAAAACCTTAATAAATAGGAAATATTTGATTTTAACCATAACCCATTTATCATACAAAATAGAATTCTTTCAACACACGTATATTTTAAACAAAATCATAAAACTTTCTTAAAAATTTAAACAGAACCTCTTATGAAAATAGGACTTCCTAACAGAACAATATAACAATTGAGAGCTCTAAACCAATATAAGTAATCAAATGAGGATACTAACTATAGTATGTGAAACATCTAAAATAGAATTTACAAAATACAAAGTATAACATATAAATTCAAGTTTTGCAATGATTAGAAATTTGATCGAAATAATGCTTCAACTTTAATTTAGAAGTATACCCCTCATTAATCATCTAAAAGTCCAAAGCCTTCTACACTATTTAAGATCAAAAATATTTTGTAGTGAATAATGTCTCAACATTTATGAAATTTAAAAGGATGAAATGAATAAATACAATAATTATAAAATATTTCATAAACTTTGAAATTTAAAAATTCTATATAGCCTTAAATAAAATCTTAACTATTAAATTTATAATGTCAAATATCCTTATCACTTGATGTCAAAAAGACAAATAAATAGAATAAATAAACATAGTAACATTCACTAATTAAACCAATTGAGTATGTAATCACCAAATAATTTAAAAATTATGTTTCGATGGACTTATCAGAATAATTAACAAATATAGATACGCAGTCCATGAGAGTAAATAACCAAACGCAACTTATGTCATGAAGACAAATATGGACATACAGTCCACGATGGTAAGTAATCAAATATAGCTTGAATTACGAAATAAATATGGACACACAACCATAAAAGTAATACCAATCAAACACAACTTGAAACTACGAAATCAAATGTAGGTGTTAGACCTACAAATAACAGACATGAGAACAAAGCTCAGAAAAATTAAAATGGCCAATCATTAATCATGGGCTAATCGAGACTACTGTTACTCGTTAACAACCAATGTTTTATATAAAGTCCCTTTTAAATTTATTTTAAACATGTAAGAAAATTATCACTTTCAAAATACATTTTTCATTTTCAAATTCAAACTCGTATGAATAGTATTGTGTATTAAAAACTTGCTAAAATAAAATTTCATAACTAATACCCATATTTGGCATTTATTAAGTAACTCAAAAATTATTAGAGTTGATAAAAATAATCTTATCAATTTTCAAAGTATCCTTTATAAGGAAAAGCACATACACTCGCTACAATTCAAATATTCTTCAACATATCTTTATAATTTTCCAAAACAAAAATAATTTAATTAACAAAGCATTAAATACTTAATATAATTGTTACTAGTTGTGATAGGGACGCGGAAGCAGAATCGTGCTAGTTTAGGGACAGAACCCTGAAACAACAAAAACACAAGAACAAAAAAGAAAGGGACGAAATTTATGACGGAAATAAAGAAAGGTATGAAGTAAACAATAGGATAATGATCAAGGAGAAGATCCTCTAGAGCACCTGCCTCTAGGAACCTCAACCTTCGAAGACACCACAAGAGTTGATCACGCTCTTGATC